CAGGTTCTTTGCAAACCCCTTCGGGTCCCAATGCATCCGCATCGGTGAGTCATTGATGTGTTTGGCTCCCTCAGTCTATTCTTACCATGATATAATTATCACTTTAGCATCACAAAATAATATTTAACCACACCATCGCTACACGCGTACGCATATTCAATACTGTTTAACAATACTTGATTGGTAATTCGTCTTTGCCCATTGAAACAGGTGAGGATTGAGGCTAAGGCCTACATTTAGGTTTCCCTGCTCCGGTGAAGTTTTTTCGAAAGCGACAAATCAGATTATGCAGTGCTACTTCGACAAACAACATTTGCTAGTCGGACACCAATGCTTGATCAAGATCATACTTAATCAGACACTTGCTTTTTGCAGAGTGTTTGTACTTACTGGGTCTTCAACTATTCCCAGGCGTGTAGATAGGAATGAAGCCCAGATTACCAGGACTCGACCTGATGATTATAGTGATCTAGGCACAGCCACGACTTAGACCCCTATACCAGTGAGCAGTGAAACGTCGAAGGCCGTCAGTTATGTTGTGAAGTAGCAATAACGTCATAGACATTTTGCATTTAGGACGATAGGGAGTAGATCGTAGAAAGATCATAACACGTGCTCAGGTATTTTTTTTTAGATACAAGTTGCCCTATTCCGCACTTCCAAAGTTAACAAATTAGTCAGTCAGAATAAGCTTGAGTGAAGACGTGTTGAACCGCCTAAAAGTAGATAGACAGGGAGAAGTAAAATGATCCGTAGCGTAATTACCTTTTCCGATCAGCCTTTCATGCGCGGAATGCCAACTAGCAGCCCATAGTCCTCAACATATCCAGTTTCCATTCATTTTCCGGAGGCCTGATTCCACAGATCTCCAATGTATTTATCAATACTATCCAAAGTATTAATTATTTATTTTGCAGATCGTTCATTACCTTATCAGTTCAAGATTTTATTAAGTGTAGTTATCAATAATATAGGCAGGGAAAGAGAACAAATCCTATTCGTAATATTCTATGCCTAAGCTTGCACTACCTTGTTTGGCGTGCTTACCAAAGGCTCCCAATTGCCCGGGAAACGTAGGATCAGTGACGGTCTGCCATATTCCAAGGGCAAGAAAAACCCTTTGCGAGTTAAGATTTATTCGAACGCAGTGGCCGACCAGATAGTTTACTCCCATCAACGCATATCTCGAATACTTATTACTGTCCACAGTCAAAACGGACTTCATACAATCGTATACTCATTCAAAAGTATTGTCATGAGGGTTCAGGAAATGGTTGCAGCCTGGCTCTAACCAAAAAGACCAACTTTCCTGCAATTACGGACTTTTCAATCTACGATTCTTATAATTTTGTGATAAGTTTATTGCGCAGCACTTGAATTATAGTACGAAATCGTTACTCCTAACCGACCTCAGTATGATCTTCTAATCGCACGCAATTATACAGGATGAAGTTTTTGACTTACCGCTGTCTTACGCTTGCCACACCTGCTGTTTCTATTCTATATATATATATATATATATATATATA